CCCAGCCTGGTCTCCAGAGTGAGTGCCAGGATAGGCTCCAAAGCTACACAGAGAAACCCTGTCTTGAAAAGCCAACTAACTAACTAACCAACTAACTAAATAACTAACTAACTAAATAAATAAATAAATAAATAATAAGACCTGCTGACACAATTAAGATGTGCTTTTTCAAGACACTGAAGAGTCTTCCACCACTAAGGAAATAAAAAGATCAATCAGATAACGATCAGATACTTGGACAAGAGCCCTGGGCATCGATGTACATATCTATTCTTCCAGTCAATACACAAATGTGTGTAACTATTGATAAATACTGTGGTGGGCACAGACTTAGTAAAAACAGTAATCTTTTTAGAAGAGCAAACCACGGGACAGAACAATAGATTCTGACAGGCCACAGAAGCAGGTAACTTTATTAAGGTCAGGGAGTTGAAGAGTTTCTCAAAACAATTGTATTCATCCAGTAAACAATGGGAAATCACTAAAAGTTTTAAAGCACAGAAATGGTGTAATCAAACCTGAGACTTAGATTCTAATGCTCAAGAGGAGGCCGTTGAGTAACAGGAGAGACCGGCAGTGGCACAAGCAGGAAGGCAAACTGGAAACATCACACCAGAGCTCGGTTGTGATCTCCAGCCGGAAGAGGAGCAGGACTGAGGATGACTGAAGGTGAGGAGCTGCGTCTGACTGAAATCCAAGGTTTAGGGAGCCAGCCTCACAAAACGTAGGACAGGACCAAGGCGCAGAAAGCAGAGCTTTCCCACCTGTCTGAGGCCCTCCTGAGACCTGCCAACTGCACTCTAAGAGGATGAGAGAGGCTGCCTGCATGTGCCTGGAGGAATAAGGGGTAATCCAGGTTAAGTAGGGCCCAGATATCTGACTAAAGAGTGAAAACATAAATTATGCTCTTTCTAATCAGTACAAAAATACTTCAGTAATTTTAGAGACCCACCAGGTATCAACAGTTACCAGCACATAAGCAGGAAGCAATCACAAAATACAGGTTCCAGATAGTAATTTTGAACATAAGGACAGCAACTAAGCTGGACAGTGGCGCGCTCAGAAAGCAGAAGCAGGTAGGTTTCTGAATTGAAGACCAGCCTAGTCTATGGAAGGAGTTCCAGGACATCCAGGGTTACACACATAGAGAAACCTTCCTTTGGGGAGTAAAAAACAAAAGCCAAAGAAAAAACCAAAAAACCGCCAACTACAACTGAACACAACCCTGGTGGTTGACTGGCGGGAGCGTGCTTACATTTTCTAGAAATTCATATATAGTGGGAGTTTTGAGAAGGTCTCCGCCCCTTCCTCCAAGCAAGTCTCTAACAGGCTCCCTCATTTGAATGTAGCACTATCAAATTTTCAAAAAGCTTCAGTGAATTTCTTAGTAGTATCCTAGTAAAAAGTATTTAATTGTTCAAACCCAAAGATGCTTAATTGTTTATTTTTAAAAGTGTCTATAAGCCGAGAGATAGTGGCTAGTGGCATACCCCTTTTACCCCAGCACTTGGGAGGCAGAGATAGGGGAATCTCTGTGAGTTCAAGGCCAGCCAGAGCGAATTCCAGGATAACCTCGAAAGCAATACAGAAAAACCCTGTATCAAAAAACAAACAAACAAAAAAGTTTAGGGATAGAGCACTTGCCTACAATCCATGAGTCTGATAAGTGTGTATGTGTGTGTGTGTGTGTGTGTGTGTGTGTGTGTGTGTCAAGAACGAAGAATTGTTTCACTGCATATTAAGATAAGTCCAAAGGATTTAAGATACCAAATCTGAAAAGACAATCACCATGTAGCAGCCTACAGGAACAAGCTACTGATAACCTAAGGATTCCATTACACATACTTCACCTCTGCTCTCCTTCAGCCAGAGGCCTCCTCTGCAGTCCACCCAGCAAGGCCTGGCCTGAAACAAGCAGACAGAAAAAACACCCTCGTCCCCTTACCCTGGCTCAAAAAGTATTGTTGAATGTTAAGTCCATGAATAAAACAGCCAGGCCTCTGCCACCAAAAATAAAAGATTTTTTGAGCAATGACCAAACATTTCATGAAAGCCTTTTACAGCTCCCAAATGTTCAGCCACCAAGCAATTTTATTATTCATGTAACATGTAAAGAGTCTGCAGGCATTTGATGAGTAACTGACGGAGGTAATTCCTGGTCCTAAACATATTAGCAATCAGTGTCTGTTGCTACGCTGTCTGTCTTGTCCTTCCTACTGTTCAATGGCAGTGACTGCAGGAAAAGCAAAGCTTCTCAAAATGCGCACAGCAAAGACTTCTGGTGCGACCACATTTGAATTAGCCATGCTTTCTCTTGCCAAGAGCTTTCGAAGTGCATTACAGATTTCGTCCAGGTGGAACTGAAGCCATACTCCCTACCCCTCAGGACCTACTCACTGGCACTCGTCAGTCTGTAGGGTTGACACGGAGCCATCTGGAGTTACCTCAGAAGCGCTTAGGATTCCACAGGGACTCCCTCCCTCTTCTCCCCTGAACCCACAGAGTCAATGGTGAAGGTGACTGGAACAGCGTCATAAAAAACGCAGGAGACCAAACACAACTTGGTTTTATTTAATCCTCGAAGCCTGCAAGACAGCTAACTTCGTTCCATCACCTTTCCCAACCAGAAACCAAAGGGGAGCAGCAAGAACATCTCCAGTTTGGAGAGAACCAAAGCAGAGATCACCCAGCCACCCTGAATCCACAGTCTGCGCACTCACCACTACACATCCTGCCATAGCAAGTGCTCACTGCAACACCCATTAAAACCGAAAAAGTAAGTGCAGCAATAAAAGTAGGAAATTGGCAGGAAGCTAAAGAAAGGCATAACCAGCCTCTAACAGGATGACCCCAATGCCCTTCTTCCTGAGGCAGCTGACCCATGGGTTACTATACTGACAAGCACAGATGTTTCAGCTGATTGGATACAAAAATATATTATCTTTACTGCAAATACTACACTGGGTTCCTTCCTTCCTTCCTTCCTTCCTTCCTTCCTTCCTTCCTTCCTTCCTTCCTTTTCCAAAACAGGTTCTTACTATATAACTCTGGCTTTCCTAGAACTCACTATGTAAACCAGTCTGGCCTTGAGCTAAGAGCTCTGCCTGTCTCTGCCTCCAAGTGCTAGGATTAAAAGCGTGTGCCACTAACCAGCCACTAAATGGGTTTCTAATCTGCTCAGCTATGGAATTACTGTATATAGGCCATTCGAATCTTCCCAGAGAAGAAAGTATGAAGTCCCATGGTATGCAAAGACAGGAGCAACAATGTACAAGGACAAAAGGAAAACAGAAAGCAAATCTCTCTGGCCACCATAAAGTAGAGATCAAAACAATGGAATATCATTCTGTTCTTACCAACTTACTAAAGATTTTTAACATGAAATTATCTTCACTGTTACAAATCTAAATACTGCCCATCCTTGCCAGATTATAAAGTGATCCAATTTCTCTAGATAGTAGCCCTACTGCAAACATCGTAATCTTTTAAATTAGGACTTAAATTTCTCCAAAGGAAATCACTGATTAAACGAATAAATATATAAAGATGCCCATCTTCATCTCGGGGATGGAGCAACGGCTTGGAGGTCAAAAGCATTTAACACTCTTGTAATCAACTCAAGCTTAGCAAGTTTAGTTCCCAGCACCCATGTGCCGGTTCACAAGCACCTGTAGCTCCAGGGAGCTGACACCCTCTTCTGACTTCTGAGGGTACCAGGAGTGCACATGGTGCACATACATGCAAGCAAACATGCATAAGATAAAAATAAATAAATCTAAAGACGTTCAGAGAATAATTCCTAATAACCAACTATTAGAAATATAACAACCTAATCTGGGCGGTGGTGGCCCACCACCTTTAATCCCTGCACTCAGGAGGCAGAGGTAGGCGGATCGGAGTTCAAGGCTAGCCTGATCTACATAGTGAGTTCCAGGGGGCAGGCAGACTCAGTCAACAAAATACTAAGTAGCCACTACTGTTAAAGTTTTGAGTAATACACACACACACACACACACACACACACACACACACACACACACACACACACACACACGCCTATTATGTAAAGACAAAAACAGCAACATAGAAAGGTGTGAAGAGGCACTATGAAAATGCCAACTACCCAGTGCAATGCCTGGCACATGCATCACCAAAATGCTTTAATGGGGAGAAAAGCCTTGAAAAGGGAATCGGAGAAAATGCACGGAAAGAGCAGTGTTTATTTCTAAATAATGGTGTTTTTCCCCCGGTTCCATTTTTTTTAAGTGATTTTACATTTCCTATAACAAGCGCTTTTGTTGCTTTAGAACAAGGAAAAGTCTCAAAATCAAAATCCAAGATGTTTTCTAAGCATTCACACTGTAGAGCTAAGTGTCCCTAAGAGCAGGACAGTTCCCAGCCTGTGCATCTGCAGACTGGTAACTGTTACCAGCAACTAAACCTGCCCAGGAAAGCATGGCCACCAGCATCACTCACCCGTGGGGTCTAGATCCATGCTAATATAAGGGGCGGACATTACAAAGAGACAGACACAGACGACTGTAAAGGCCAAAGTTTAAGGAATGTTCCAAATCTCTGTGCCAGTGTTTTAGATGAAACTGTCAATGCCTTATCATTCAAATATCATTAAAGGTGCTGAAACTCGGGAATAAGCGATATTCAGAAAGTAATATTTGCAGAGGTTAAAGTATTTACATGACTTTATGTTCGCTGTACCCAATAAAGTGAACAAGGGCTTTCTGTAGTTATTCTGGCTATAAGTGTTTAGGATCCACTTCAAGAAAATTAAGATAAGAGACACTTGCAGATCATTGACTAAAACCACAGGAATGTTTTAGGGTAGCTAAATTTTCGAGTGTATTGTTGTACTGCCTGGATACTTATTAATATTTCAACAACAGGATGAATGGGCCTGTTTGACCCCCTCCCAGTCTGGGCCTTAGGCAGACCAGGAACTTATTTTTCCACTTGGTCCTATAGGGGCAGAGTAGTACCGCTCACCCATCTCCATGTGAAAGATTAAGTAAACCACCAAGACAAGATATTTTGGATAACTATATTCAAAAAGCATGTGGACCTACTATATTTTGGATCACCAAGATAGAACATTGCCATTGTACTTTGTTGGCTGATGACTAGCGGGGTGGGTTATTTCTTCTCAAGTGTTGGAAGGCCTTCCTCCCTCTTGCAGTTCTTCCACTGTCTTGGGTAGAGTCTTCTTTCAAGGAAACATAAAGTAACTGTTGGCTACGGAGTGAGTTGGCTTTGGGGTTAAATTCTAACATGTACCGTGACACCCTGAGAATCAGCAATGAAAAGGCAATCAGAAAATTTCCAGAAACACAAAACCACCAATTGAAAAGAGGACTTATGCAAAAATCAAACAACCCTTCCCCCTTCACCCCCATACACTAACACACACAAACATATAGGTAGATAACAGAATAAGGAAGTGATCTGTGTTAAGCTGGCTCTCATCCCTGGAACCCTGAACAAGGAAAGACCTGACTACTTGGAAGTTGAGGACAAAGTTCCCACACAGCCTCTTATTACTTCCTGTGTTGTTCTCTTCTCTATAAAAGTGAGAGCCTTATCTCTCTTATCATATATGACACCTATACCCTGTGCACTGAAGTTCAATGGAAAGGTTGTCAGTTCCTTAGACTCCCCAGTCATGATGTTAGCATGAGCTACACGATTCTCAAAGTAAGGGCAAGTACATACAGAATCAATGTTGACACAAATTTTTCCTAGATGGGCAACCCAAATCACATTTCCTATAATGCTAATAATTATCTAGTAAAATTCTGGTCTATTCTGTTCCGTGCCCACAGATGACATGTTTCCCCTCAGATGAATTACAAGCAAGTCACATGGAAAAATTCTGGGGGAAAAAAAAAGTCAATAGCTGACACCAGTTTAAGATGGTCTAAAACCCTGACAGGCTATGTCACATTGTGTTAAACTCCATATACCAAAGAATACAGAGACATGTGGCTCCTTTGAAAAGTCAGGTTTCCCTTTTCAGTAAAAATAAAAATCTTTCCCCTGCTGGATAGGATTTCATCCTAAAACTTTGTCTTATAACCCTAGAATACAGAACAGAAAATGTGAAAAATAAAAGCCTTCTAGAAATCACCACAGGAGAGGAGAAAGTCAGAAAAACATACAAAGCACTGAGAGCTGGATGTGTGAGAATGCCAGGAGAGGGGGGGAGGGTTTCATGAGGTTCTAGGCAAGCCCTTTGATGACATCACCCCACATACATAATGTTACAGCAGTCAGCACAGGCCTCCTGCTTTCCTATTGGTGAACACTGTGTCAGCCGACATCAGAAGATAGTCATCATTGGTCAGACAATTACAACTGGAGCAACTAGCATCCACGGTCGTTAGCACAAACCTGGCAGGCTGCAGAAGGGAGAAGGCACAGCCTGCTTTCCTTCTCAATGAAGTTTATGTCTCCTTTCCAGCAAGGCAGAGGACGGCTGGGTGACTGTGTTCCATAGCTAACAGTGTTTACCAACTGAGACAGCTATTAGTAGTGAGCACAACAGGTAAAGACCAGGCATCTCATTAAAGGAACAAAAATGTCTCTACATCAGCGATGTTAACACTCAAGGGCCTTTCAGTCTTAAACTGCAATTCAAAAATGCTTTTTGGAGCTAAAGCATTTCCCTCTCATGTAGAAACAGCACCAGGATATTTTTAACTGGGAAGCAGTTTCAAGATGGGGGGGTGGGTGATTTTCCAAGGGAATACAGACTTACTACTTTGCAGTGAAATTGCCACTCCAGTCTATTCTATATGAAACTATTCACTACAAAAATAAAGTCTACAATATTTCCTATCTAGGCCAATGGGTATCAGGTTAAACATTCAAAGTAGCAATAAACTTCACGAGTTTGTCTCAGTCTAGCCCTCAAGAGTACACACACACACACATACACACACACCACTCTAAAGCCTAAGGTCTCATTCTAAGAATGCTGCTGGAGCTAAGGTAAATACCATAGGGCAAGTTTTACCAATTCCTCATTTTGAGTCATCCTAAATGATGCTAGTTAGTACACTCAGACTACTGCAATGCAAAGCACCATACCTGCACGCCCCCAAGACTTGAGCTGCCCTTGCAGCTCACTTGGTAGAGATAATGTTAAAATTAGCCAGCTTTGTTTAGACTACATGTATGAGATTTGAAAGAACTGTTACACAAATAAGTTCTCAAAAGACAGGGCAGACGCTTCTATCTCTACATGTTTTTCTTCCAGAAGCTATTATAAAGCATTCAAAGTGACCAGGTCAAGTGAAGATGAGCCTTCATGATTTTCAAGCCATCCACGCTCGTCTCAAGAGGGTCTAAGCCTTTATGACAGCAGTCTCTTCTAATGACAACTTGAGAAAAAAAATCCTTCATTTTTGTTCAAGGCATTTTGGTTGTTGGGGTTTATCTTGAAAGTGCAGGTGGGAGAGCTTTAAAATCAGGCTGTGAAGGAAATGTAATGAGGCAGAAAGCTAAAGAGATTAGGATCAGGAAGGAAGGGGTAGGACCTGCCACCGTAATATGCAATCCAAGAATATAAAGAGCAAAAGGCAGGACGGGCATACATTCTACAGTGTGACTAAAGCAGGGTTCAAACCTCAAAAAGCCAAGCAATGCTGAACTCCCAGCAGCATGGATAGGGGCAGGTACTATTGGCGGCAAAATGAGCATTTTAGTCACTGGACTTAGGAAGCAACTTCCATGAATAAAGCATGCTGCTAAGTGCTTTGCAGAATCAAGGGGGTGGGGGCAGAATGTGCTAGGAGCCACAGGCACACATGTAAATACCCACCTCTAAAAACAGAGTCAGGAAATGGGGGCTATTCAAGAGCTAAGGAGAAACGTTCAGACATTAACAAGAGAAAAGAAAAAGGTGATTTGGGTCATTTTTCAATCCCTTGTGGTCCAGGGACCGGTGTGGTTCTGACAGAGTAGCTGTCACTTATTGAGTATCTGTAGAAAGAGGCGGGAAATGATCCTGGGGCAGGCACAGGAAGTAGTGGGGGGGACGACAAATAGAGACACCATTCACTACGGTGGGGCAACGAAAGTCAGTTGAGTGCCAAGCTCCTGCAGAGGCTGGGAAAGCCAACACCAAAAGGCAGGCCCAACGGGGATGCAGCAAGCAGCCAGTGCTAACACGTTAGGATAACGCGGCTACTGGAAGGGGAAGGGAGTTTAGAGCAGTGCGGCAAGGGACGGTAGTGACAAAGGGTCTCAGAGAATTCTAGGCTGGAAGCCCCAAGCTAGAAAGCTGTTCTCGCTCCCCCCACCACCCCGTCCCCAAGTAAGTCCCTAGTGGGAGGAGGAAATGCACCTTTAGGACCCTAGAACGCGGCCCGAAGGGGCTGGGCTTCCTGCAGCGACCTGGCCTCCCTATGACCGCCCCCT